CAACCGAGCGTGATGGTCAATATGACTGTTTTAATCATATACAATGAATAATGTTCATCCTTGTGATTCACTTAATCCTCAAATGTATATTTAGCTCTTTTGGTGTAATATACTTCTTCACAGTCTTCAACAAAGCTAGTATAGAACGTTTCAAAAGGGTGAGTAAATATGTGTACGTTGATATTAGCGTCGACTCATAAAAAAATTAGGGATAAAATCAGATTAAAATTGATTAAAAAATGATTAGAAATCGATTAAAATCATACATCTTGATTTATAATCAAAAATAATCAAAAAAAATCAAACTTTCATACAGAAAATCGATTGATTTTGATTAATTTCGATTATAACCGATTAAAATTTCAGAAGAAAAATCGGTTTTATTTGATTTTTGTTCGTGATTCATAAAAAAAATTTAGCTGGTTTTTCATCGATTTGCATCAATTAAAATCGATTTTTCTTGTGAAATTTTAATCGATAATAATCGAAATTAATCAGAATTAATCGAATTTCTGTATGAAAGTTTGATTTTTTTGACTATTTTTGATTAAAAATCGATTAAAATGTGTATGATTTTAATCGATTTCTAATCATTTTTTAATCGATTTTAATCTAATTCTACTCTTAATTGTTTTTACATAGATAGTTCCACACATCGATGGTTTGAATGCTTAAAGAAAAGTCAAAAAAATAACTTTTTTATCTGCTGCCTCTAGTACTCAGTTGTCTTGTGGATTCTCTCTTAAAGATTTATCTGTTTATCAGATAAATGAACGTCCCTGATTCCTACAATAGTTAAAATGTGTTTTCTTTTACGGTATTGACATCGATTTAGGTTTCAGATGCTCAAAGAAACCTAATACTGGTTCGGCTCTCGACTTTACTTCTGTGGAACCGTGAAACTATTATCAGAATTTAAATGCACTATAAAAGTATGTTGCAAGTAGGTGCTAAAAGCCGCCACATTCTGGCACTCCAGCAGATGTTGACGAAACTTTTTCTTCCTGCCTCATGTGGTAAGTTTCAAATGAATTAATTTCTAGTAGTGTCCAGGATTGTGCGAATAGAACTGGTGCCGGCCAAATATATGCTACCATTTATAAATGTAGAAATTTTAACTAACTACTAAAAGATTTTATTTGCCATGTTGCGAAGTGAAAAACGGTTGGAAAAAAATCATATACAGTAAATTGAGAAACATAAAATAGTAAAGCTGATCGGATCTAGCAAAAAGTCATCCTTAAAAATATTTCCGAGGGTGCTTCGAAAAATACAATTCATAATATATAATAACTTTCTAAAACTGCGTTTCAAACAGTGAGATACAGTGAACGTCATAAGTCTCGCATCACTTTTTTGTTTTGAGTAGTGCATTTAGACTACACAACCTTAATTTAATTTGGTTATGTATCCTTGTAGCGGAGATCAAGTACTATTTGTATACCTCTATTTCATGCGAAAAATTGTTGAATACAAAGTGCAATAAGCAATGCAAACTTTATTCCTACGATAAAAAAGACAAAAAAAGACAAACGATGTTGTTGTTACATGTACAGTCAGCTACAAAATTAGCACAGTATTGAGAAAACTTCTTATTTTGTCATACGATTGTAGAGCTCTTTTTGCTGATCATTTTCATAAAAAAATATTCTAAATTTCATACAGAACTGACAGTTTTACAGTCAAAATATTAAACACTATGTTCCGAAGTATTAGTAAGTATAAATTGTCTTGGATATATCTCTGCACAAACAAATGATAAAACTTTGGCTTTTTTATCAAAAGACGTGTCTTGAAAAATATTGCAAAAATTGTAAAAACAAATCTCTATTCATCTATAATGATGATTTCTTTCGCACTCGAAATGAAAAAAGTACATAAGAGGGCTATTTTTCATCAAATAAAAATGATCGAAAGACTTTCATATTTTGCATACATCTCGACTGGAGAAAGTGATGACACCTTGATTTTTCTTTCAAAAGATGCAGCGTAAAAAGCTCTACAAAAGTTGTATAAACAAACTTCTATTACGAACAAAAAATCCTTCAAACATGTTAATTATCACTTTGTCCTTTTTTGTGTAGTGTATTTTTCGTAGGAATAAAGTTTGCTGTGTCTATTGTACTTTATATTCAAGAGCTTTTCGTATGAAACAGATGTATAGAGATAGTACTCACCCTGTGCTACCAGAATATATGATCAAATTAAGTTAAGGTTGTGTAGTCTAAATGCACTACTCAAAACAAAAACGTGGTGCGAGACTTATGACGTCTACTGTATATGAGACGGACAGTTATCTTGACTGATAAAAGCAGTCCTTTTCCATTTATCAAATACCGTATCGGTGCATCAGTTATGAAAACATCGAACACATGCACATACTTGTTGTTGTTGTTGTTGCCGTTGTTGTCGTTGTTGTTGTTGTCGTAGTTGTTGTTGTCGTCGTTGTAGCTAAATGAAGACGAAATAGTTTATTTAAAGAAGAGATCACATATTCAGATAATGATTCTCTTGAGTCAGATCATGCTGGTGTGAAATCATTCTAGACAAAATCTGCTAGTAACAGAATTCATCTTATTTCTTCCGAACTAACGCTTACATTGTTTCATTTCAAACACTGGGAAAAAGTAGCATGAAACATATGCGATATTTTTAAATCCTACCGAAACATCCTCATTGAAACTCTTCTGCAGAATAGCGTTTCTTCAAATGTCTTTTTTCAAAAAGATAGGAAAATCTGGCAAGGTAAACGATTGTTATTTTTGAAAATAGTTGTCGAGAATTACGACCTCAGAAATTTGATTTCATTCTCGACATGAATTCTAAATATTGGCTACAGATATTTCAACCAGTATTTCGTATTCTAAGTCAATAGGATCCTTTTTATCTATTTTCTTGTGGATGAATGAAAGATTTTTAAAATATTCACATGTTGTTGTCGTTGTTGTTTGTGATGTTGTAGTCGTAGTTGATGTTGATGTTGTAGTCGTAGTTGATGTTGATGTTGTAGCAGTGGTTGATGTTGATGTTGTAGTAGTGGTTGACGTCCTTGTTGTTGTCGTAGTTGATATCAACCCTACCGAAAAAGATCTGAGTAAACATTTAGAGAAACGGGATAATGGCCAAGACTTCTTAAATGGTGTCACAATTTTTTATTCTTAGCCAATTGAAAATACTCTTTCATTATTCGAAAAGTCTATATTGTTTTATTATAAAATAAGTTAATAAAAAAGAAGGTATTCTGACTGCGAAGTGATCACTACGTGCCTATGAGGAAAAATCAACCGTCAAAAAAAGACTTTCAATGCAATCCTTACAGTGTTAGAAATTTTAAGTATAATGAAACTATTTCGAAAAAAGATGAAGTTACTTGTTATTTTCTTCAGTCTGCCATAAAAAAGCAAGAGGCATCTTAGAGTTCCTACAACAAGATGTAATACTGACAAATATTGGTATAATATCATGAAAGAAAACAACTCGGTTGAATAATACAACTGCATGGTTCCAACCGAGCGTGATGGTC